AATTGTTAAAAGGTCTAGACTCTAAAAAATCTGCAGGACCAGATGAACTTCCTCTTTATTTCTTAAGGCTAGCTGCACACATCATCGCAGAACCAGTGTCCCACATCTTTAACCTGTCCATAAGCCAAAATACCGTTCCAAACGCTTGGAAAACAGCCTTTGTTCTACCTTTACTGAGGGGAGGTGACCCCACTTTAATGAACAACTATGAACCAATCTCTAAACAATGTATTCTTGCTAAAGTTTTAGAAAAAAAATTAAACACAAGTCAAGAAGTATTTGGATTCTTTTAAGATCTTACCTCTCCATCAATCTGGTTTCAAGAAACAACACAGCACAACGACTGCTTCACTGAAGGTTTTTAATGACGTTGTTGAAGCACTGGATGCTAAGGATTATTGTGCTGCACTTTTCTTAGACCTGTCTAAAGCTTTTGAGACTGTGGACCATGACATCTTGTGTCATAAGCTCTCAGAAATTGATTTCTCAGATCATACTATTGACTGGTTCTTTAATTATCTCAGATCGGAGGTAATGTGTTCAACATAATTGTACTTCTTCCAGCTGTCAACAATGGTGTACCACACCCTCTTCACAACCTACATAGGTAATGTAGGTCAGATTTGCTTTCCTGATGCATCCTTACATTTCTATTCCATCGACACAGTTGTCTATTGTCGAGGTAGGATATTTGCTAAGTGCTGGTGAAGTTTCTCAGTCATCCAGAACATGGTAAATTCAAAAAAGTTCAAGACAAAAACAACTGGGCTTTAAAGTCCAGTTGTTTTTGTCTTGAACTTTGTTTTTAACTTGTTTAAAAAAAATAAAATAAAAACTAAGAACAACAGTGGTAACACTTTTCATATTTACATTCTTTCTACTTCCTGTGGACCCACCACCTGCAGGAAGGGCCATAAAAGTCGGGTGCATAATGCCATGGGCAGTTGCCGAAGGCGGGAACCTTGGCGCTCAGATCCTGGCTTACCAAAGCTAGCTCTTGGGACATGGAATGTAACCTCTCTGACAGGGAAGGAGCCTGAGCTTGTTCGCAAGGTTGAGAGGTACCGACTAGATATAGTTGGGCTCACCTCGACGCACAGCATGGGCTCTGGAACTGATCTCCTTGAGAGGGGTTGGACCTTATTCCACTCCGGAGTTGCCCATGGTGAGAGGCATCGAGCTGGTGTGGATCTACTTGTAGCCCCCTGACTTGGTGCCTGTGTGTTGGAGTTTTCCCCGGTAGATGAGAGGGTGGCTTCCCTTCGCCTTTGGGTTGGGGGACGGGCTCTGACTGTTGTTTGTGCCTATGCGCCGAATTACAGTTCAGAGTATCCAGCCTTCTTGGAGTCCTTGGCAGGGGTGCTGGAAGGTGCGCCAGCTGGGGACTCCTTTATTCTGCTGGGGGACTTCAATGCCGACGTGGGTAATGACAGTGTGACCTGGAGGGGCGTGATTGGGAGGAACAACCTCTCTGATCTGAACCCGAGCGGTGTTCTATTGTTGGACTTCTGTGCTAGTCATAGTTTGTCCATCACAAATACCATGTTCGAACATAAGGGTGTCCATAAGTGCACTTGGCACCAAGACGCCCTAGGTCGTAGATCGATGATGAACTTCATAGTCGTATCATCTGATTTGCAGCCGTTTGTTTTGGACACTCAGGTAAAGAGAGGAGCTGAGCTGTCAGCTGATCACCACCTGGTAGTAAGTTGGATCAGATGGCGGGAGAAGATGCCGGACAGACCCGGTAGACCCAAACGTGTAGTGAGTGTTTGTTGGAAACACCTGGCATAAGAACCCGTCAGAGAGATCTTCAACTCACACTTCTGGGAGAGCTTTAACCACATCCCAGCTGAGGTGGGGGACATTGAGTCTGAGTGGGCCATGTTCTGCAACTCGCTTGTTGAGGTGGCTGCCTTGAGCTGTGGCCGCAAGGTTGTCGGTGCTTCTCACGGTGGTCATCCACGAACTCGGTGGTGGATACCCCGGGTTAGGGAGGCTGTCAAGCTGAAGAAGGAGTCCTATCGGGCCTTGTTGGCCAGGGGTACTCTGGAGGCAGCTGAGGAGTACCGGAAGGCCAAGCGGTGTGCAGCCTTGGCTGTTGCTGAGGCAAAATCTCGGATGTGAGAGGAGTTCGGTGAGACCTTGGATAGAGACTCTCGGTCAGTTCCGAGGAAATTCTGGCAAACCATCAGGCAGCTGAGGAGAGGAAAGCAGCACTTTACTGATATTGTGTTCAGTGAAGGTGGGTTTTTGTTGACCTCAACCAGTCATGTCATCGGGAGGTGGAAGGAATACTTCTCGGACCTTCTCAATCCCACCAGCATGTCTTCCATGGAGGAAGCTGAGTCGGGGACTTTGGGGTTGATTCGTCCATAACCGTGGCTGAGGTCGCCGAGGTAGTTAAAAAGCTCTGAGGTGGAAGTGTTCCGGGAGTGGATGAAATTCACCCTGATTTCCTTAAGGCTCTGGATGTTGTGGGGCTGTCTTGGCTGACACGCCTTTGCAATGTCATGTGGACATTGGAGGCAGTGCCACTGGACTGGCAGACTGGGGTGGTGGTTCCCCTCTTCAAAAATGGGGACCGGAGGGTGTGCTCCAATTATAGGGGCATCACTCTCCTTAGCCTCACTGGTAAGGTCTATTCAGTGGTACTAGAGAAGTGAGTACGATCATTGGTCAAACCTCAGATCCATGAGGAACAATGTGGGTTCTGTCATGGCCGTGGAATATTGGATCAGCTCTTTACCCTCACTAGGGTCGTCGAGGGGTCATGGGAGTTTGCCCATCCAGTCTACATGTGTTTTGTGGACTTGGAGAAGGCGTTCGATCATGTTCCTCGGGGTACACTGTGGGGGGTGCTCCGTGAGTATGGGATTGGAGGCCCATTGTTACGGGCTGTTCATTCCCTATACAAGCGGTGCAAGAGTTTGATTCGCATTGCCGGCAGTAAGTCGGACCCCTTCAGGGTGGGAATTGGACTCCACCAGGGCTGCCTGTTGTCACCGATTCTGTTCATAACTTTTATGGACAGAATTTCTCAGCGCAGTCAGCTGGCGGAGGTTTTCCATTTCGGTGGCCTCAAGATTCCATCTCTGCTCTTTGCAGATGATGTGGTCCTGTTGGCGTCATCGTGCCGGGATCTTCAGCTCTCACTGGAGCGGTTCGCAGCTGAGTGTGAAGCAGCTGGGATGAGAATCAGCACCTCCAAATCTGAGGGCATGGTCCTCAACTGGAAAAGGGTGGATTGCTCTCTTCAGGTTGAGGGTGAGGTTCTGTCTCAAGTGGAGGAGTTCAAGTATCTCAGGGTTTTGTTCACGAGTGAGGGAAGAATGGAGCGTGAGATTGACAAACGGATTGGTGCAGCATCCGCAGTTTTGTGGACTCTGTACCGGTCCATTGTGGTGAAGAGAGAGCTGAGCTGTAAGGCAAAGCTCTCTGTTTACCGGTTGGTCTACGTTCCTACCCTCACTTATGGTCATGAGCTCTAGGTAGTGACCGAAAGAAAGAGATCGCGGATACAGGCGGTTGAAATGAGTTTTCTCCTCAGAGTAGCTGGACTCTCCCTTAGAGATAGGGTGAGAAGTTCAGTTATTCGGGAGAGACTCGGAGTAGAACCGCTACTCCTCCACGCCGAGAGGAGCCAGTTGAGGTGGTTCGGGCATCTGGTAAGGATGCCCCCTGGGCACCTTCCTAACGAGGTGCTTCGGGCATGTCCAACTGGGAGGAGACCCCGGGGAAGACCCAGGACACGCTGGAGAGACTATGTTTCTCGGTTGGCCTGGGAACGCCATGGAATCCTCCCAGAAGAGCTGGAAGAGGTGGCTGTGGAAAGAGATGTCTGGGCCTCCCTGCTCAAGTTGCTGCCCCCGCGACCCGACTTCGGAATAAGTGGAAGATAATGGATGGTTGGATGGATGGACATTCTTTCTATCTCTTACAGCTATATTCACATTATAAGTTGACAAGAGAGAGCGAGATAGCAATAATGATACCACCAACAGTTTGTACAATAATAGAAACAGAAAAGTGAGAAAGAAGAAAAAAAAGCGAGAGAGAAAAAAATAAATCAAAACA